TGATTATTATTATGTCACTAACGAAGAGTTCAGAACAGAACAAGCTTCAAAAAGAAACTGTCTTCTGAACTACTGCAGATGATATGATGAACTGACCTGTGTATATATGTTGTATATTTCTACTCTTGTTTATGTTTTTATTATTTCCTACTGTGATTTTTTAATTTTTTTTTAATGGTTTGTTTCTAATGTCATGTAATTTTTTCATGTGAGGACCCCAGGAAGACTAGTAACCATTTATTTGGCAGCTAATGGGGATCCTAATAAAACTAAACTAAACTAAACTAAACTAAGCCCGAGTTGTGTTTTTTCAGCCTTCCAGGAACCCGACTCGTGTCCAGGACCTGAAGCTGCTCTGTGCAGACAGCGAGCAGGCCCGCACCTGCTGGACCTCCGCCTTCAGGCTCTTCAAGGTTGGTTCCGCTAGCATCCGCTAACATCCGCTAACAAGAGATGTATAAAGCAGTGTTTTTCAAAAATTTTTGACCCAAGGTACATTTTTTCATTGAAAAAATCACGAGGCACACCACCAACCAAACATGTCAAACAAATCTGTAGTCGCCTATAGTAACACTATAGTTATTCTTATCTTATTTTAAGTGTCTTGAATAGGAATCAAATAAACACAAAAATGTATTTTTATCATATTTTATATTTCTTCTTTGAAATTGCTTTTAAGATGTCCAATTCAATATGCAAAATTAAATACAAAATCTAGTCATAAGGAATTATTACATGATTACGCCACCAGTCACTAGAACAGCACAGACACTCAAAAATGGCGCATTATTTGCAGATAATGAATTCCTTATCAAAAAATCTTTTTAGACCAATTAGGTGAAATAGGATGATTTTTCTACTGCATCACTGCATCACAACCTACTCACTCACTGGAGAGACAACTTTAAAACCAATAGAAATATTATAAAAAAAATCTTTTAAAATCTTTGATCAAAAGCCCCTGTCATTCCATCAGTGTCATATTTTGGAAAAATATAATATGCTCAATTTTGAAAACTTTATTCAT